TTTGCAGCCTTGCTTTAGAGGATATATGCTGCTCAGTGCCACAAGAAACATGCATTGAGCTTGCTGACGTCACATTCTGCTGTGTGGAGAGGCAGTGGCAGCTTTGCAATTCTTTCAGCCAGGTTTTATTTTTTCATTTATTTAATTGGTTTTTAACAATTAAAATTGTTAATACTGCACTATGAGAGCCCCCTTCGTATCCTGCATGTTTATTCAATGTATTTATTTTTTCAATTAACATTAAGGATACCAGCCTTGATTATATGTTTATTGCATACGTTTATTGCATTGCACAATTGATTAAGTTGGTGAGTGTTGCATATGTTTTCAATAAAGTTAATTTTACCCCTTGGAAGTGGTGCGCAGCTCCAGGGCTTTACTAAATATTCCATATGCTATGTATTAAATTGAATCAAACTGTGCTAAGTGCACTTTTTGAGCCCAGGATATATCCCATCAAATAATGTAAACATACTAAAAAACAGCTGCTGTGTCAAACTGTGAGAAACAATATGCTGTTGGGTGTGAACACCCTAATGTCCTCTTCACTGTAACGTGATCACTCCATTGACCCATAGACAGCTCACATTTTCTTGAAAACAACATTTTAAACTAGGACAAAAGTATGTAAGTCAAAAACAAGGTGCCGCGCTCCACTGCCAATGGTGATGATATAAAATAATAATAATATAAACACATACATAAATAAAGAAATGATAAATTAGTTAAATTAAATTAAGTGAAAAAGTCCAGGATCAATTCAGCAGCGTGATAGCGCAATCATGCTGGTGCTGCATGCATGTCTTTGAATAATCCGTAATTTTGGTGTATCTTCTAGTGGTGTAATACAAAATAAATAGCGTGTAGTCCACCAATCTTAGATTGTGTGTACCTTCACCAGTTGTGCTCTCACCTGACGTATATGACCAAACCGTTAAGTCAGGTTATAAAAGCTTGTGTTCCTTTAATTGGACTCAAAGATCAACAGATGAATGTATCCCTATTTCCTAGATGGATGGATGAATGGAGTTTTTCCCTTTTCCCAGCAGAGGGTCTTGACGCTTCCTAGGGACCTTTTTCATGAAATTCAAATCACTTTTCTGTACAAAATACAGGATCCTCAATGTGTTTACCACACTCCAATATACTTGCTGTGTTGTTGCCTTTAAGCGTCCTGACGTCAGAGCCCCTCCCCATTCAAAAACTCCATTCATCCATCCATCTATCTAGGAAATAGGGATACATTCATCTGTTCATCTTTGAGTCCAATTAAAAGGACACACGCTTTTATATCTATATATATAATTTTATATCTGTCTCCCCAAAACCACCCTGCCGTTCTCATACGCACTCTGGAACGCCCCCTCAGTCTGCAACAAGCTCACCTCCATCCATGACCTCTTTGTCTCCGGCTCCCTTAACCTCCTAGCGATCACTGAAACCTGGGTCCAAGCAACAGACTGCCTCCCCCGCAGCACTCTCATCTGGACCCACTCACCCAGACCCAGTGGTTGAAAAGGTGGTGGGGTTGGTTTTCTCCTGTCACCACTGAGCATCTTCCAAGTCCTCCCTAACCCTCCCTCTCTTTCCTTCTCTTTCGAGACCCACTGCATCCGGCTATTCTCTCCAATCTCTCTGAGAATTGCAGTGATCTACCAGCCTCCTGGACCCATGTCCTGCTTTCTTCATGACTTCGCCGCCTGGCTACCCTTCTTTCTCTCTTCTAAGCTACCCACTATCATTCTTGGAGACTTCAACATCCCTATCAACATCAATAACCCAGCTACATCCCAACTCTTCCACAAAACCTCTTCTTTTGCACTAACTGCATACAGTCCTCCACTCACTCTGACGGGAACACTCTTGACCTTGTCGTCTCTCACCTTTGCACTCCCTGCAACCTCACAAATACCCCATTTCCTCTCTCCGATCACAACCTCATCACCTTCTCCATCTCCTCGTCCTCAAACACCTATCACTCGAAACGCCAAACAATTGCCAACAGAAACCTCCGGAACTGGAACCCTGCTCCCTTCCACTCTGCAACTGACCAACTCTACAACACCATCCATCCCCTGTCCTGCCCTGACCTAGCCACTACTGCCTACAACAACTCTCTTGCAGCCCCTTTAGACTCACTTGCACCCCCAACCTCAAACGACATAGTCGTGCCCTGGAGCGACTATGGCGTACAACCAAATCCCAACAAGTGTTCACCCACTACAAATCTGCCTTCTTAATGTACACTTCCTCCCTTCACGCTGCCAAACAGGCCTACTTTATTACCCTCATCAATACCTTCTCCTCCAATCCTCGCCGGCTCTTCTTAACTTTTAACTCCCTACTTTCTCCGCCTCCACCTCCGCCCAGTACCTCACTTACCGCCCACGAGATTGCCAACCACTTCAAAAACAAGATTGACGCAATTCGTAGGGACTTCGCCACTGCTCAGACACCCATCCCACTTAGCACTCCTCACACAATAACCCCCTCAACACTTTGCTCCCTTGACCTCACTACCACCAAAGAAGTCACTAAGATTTTCTCCGAAGCCCGCCCCACCACCTGCCCCCTGGACCCTGTCCCCTCACAACTCTTGCAGTCCCCTTCCTCTTCCATCCTATGCTCCCTCACTCACATCTTCAATCTTTCCCTCTCCACCAGTACCTTCCCCTCCCCTCTAAAGCACGCGCACATCACCCCCCATACTTAAGAAACCCTCCCTGGACCCCTCCGACCTGAACACCCTAAGACCCATCTCCCTACTGCCATTAACCTCTAAACTCCTAGAACGCTTAGTCTACAATCACCTAAACTCCCATCTCACCGACAACAACCTTCTCGACCCTTTACAGTCCAGCTTCCGCCCCCTACACTCCACCAAAACTGCCCTACACAAACTCACCAATGACTTACTAACTGCCAAAACCAATGGCCACTATACTATACTCTTACTACTTTACCTCTCTGCGGCTTTTGACACGGTTGACCACCCCTCCTCCTCAAAAAACTGCACTCTCTTGGCCTCAGAGACTCCGCTCTCTCCTGGTTCTCGTCCTATCTATTGCAGCGCTCCTTCAGTGTTACCTATAACGCTGCCACCTCCCCTCACTCCCTCTCTCTGTCGGGGTCCCTCAAGGCTCTGTCCTCGGACCCCTCCTCTTCTCCATCTACACCTCCTCCCTTGGCCAACTCATACACTCTCAGGCGGCTTCAACTACCACTCTATGGCGACGACACACAAATCTATCTCTCTACCCCTCACCTCACCCCCTCAGTCTCAGATCGGATCACCAGCCTACTAAGTGACATATCAGACTGGATCTCACTCCACTTCCTCAAACTCAACCTTTCCAAAACTGAGCTTCTAGTATTCCCCCCAGCCCATGCCCCCCCCTGACTTCTCCATTAAGATCAACAACACTACCATCAGTCCCACCCCTCACGCCAGGGTACTAGGTGTAATCCTAGACTCCAATCTGTCCTTTCAGCCCCAGGTCAAATCACTGACAAACTCATGTAGACTTCACCTCCACAACATCTCCAAGATACGACCGTTCCTAACGTCGGAAACCACTAAGCAACTCATCCACTCCCTTATTATATCACGCCTTGACTACTGTAACTCCATCCTTACTGGCCTACCTCATCGCAGGCTATCCCCACTCCAGTCCATCATGGATGCTGCTGCCAGACTCATTCACCTTTCTAACCACTCTGTATCTGCCACCCCTCTCTGCCAATCCCTCCATTGGCTTCCAATTGCCCAGCGGATAAAATTCAAAACACTAACACTGATGTACAAAGCCGTTCATAACACTGCCCCTAACTACATCACCGACCTTGTCTCTAAATACCACCCAAACCATACTCTCCGCTCCTCGCAAGACCTCCTGCTCTCTAGCTCCCTTGTCTCCTCCTCCCATGCTCGTCTCCAGGATTTCTCATGGGCTTCACCCATCCTCTGGACCTCCCTACCTCAAGCTATCAGGCTATCGCCTACCCTACTCACTTTTAGGTGCACTCTGAAAACTCATCTCTACAAGGAAGCCTACCCTGACCCCGGCTAACTACTGGAATCCCCTACTCCCCCAACCACTCCATCCCCGACAGCTAATTACCTCTTGTACCACTATCCCCTCCCTCCTAGATTGTAAGCTCCAAGGTGCAGGGCCCTCTAATCCCTCTTTTATTGAACTGTATTGTTACTGTACTGTCTCCCTCCATAATGTAAAGCGCTGGGCAAACTGTCGATGCTATATAAGTCCTGTATAATAATATATATATATATCTATATATATATATATATATATATATATATAGATCTACACGTACTATATTGCCAAAAGTATTGGGACGCCTGACTTTATACACACATGAGCTTTAATGGCATCCCAGTCTTAGTTCATAGTGTTCAATATTGAGTTGGGCCACCCTTTACAACAATAACAGCTTCAGGCCCTCCACAAGGTTTAGGATTATGTCTATGGGAATGTTTGACCATTCTTCCAGAAGCACATTTGTGAGTTCAGGCACTGATGTCGGACAAGAAGTCCTGGCTCGCAGTCTCCATTCTAATTCATCCCAAAGGTGTTCTATCGGGTTGAGGTCAAGAGTCTGTGCAGGCCAGTCAAGTTCCTCCACCCCAAACGCCCTCATCCATGTCTATATGGACCTTGCTTTGTGCACTGGTGCGCAGTTATGTTGGAACAGGAAGGGGCCATTCCCAAACTGTTCCCACAAAGTTGAGAGCATGAAATTGTCCAAAATGTCTTGGTATGCTGATGCCTTAAGATTTACCTTCACTGGAACTAAGGGGCCAAGCCTAACCCCTGAGGAACAACCCCACACCATAATCCCCCATCCACCAAACTTTACACTTGGCACAATACAGTAAGGCAAGTACCGTTCTCTTGGCAACCGCCAAACTCAGACACGTCCATCGGACTGCCAGACAGAGAAGTGTGATTCATCACTATAGAAAACACATCTCCACTGCTCAAGAGTCCAGTGGTGGCGTGCTTTAGACCACTGCATCTGACGCTTTGCATTGCACTTGGTGATATAAGGCTTGGATCAGCTGCTCAGCCATGGAAACCCATTCCATGAAGCTCTCTACGCACTGTTGTTGTGTTAATCTGAAGGCCACACGAAGTTTGGAGGTTTTTAGCTATTGACTCTGCAGACAGTTGGTGACTTCTGCGCACTGTGCGCTTCAGCAAGTACCGACCCCGATCTGTCATTTTACATGACCTACCACTTTGTGGCTGAGTTGCTGTTGTTCCCAGTTGCTTCCACTTTGTTATAATACCACTAACAGTTGTCCGTGGAATATTTAGTAGCAAGGAAATTTCACGGATGGACTTATTGCACAGGTGGCAACCTATCATGGCACCACATGTGAATTCACTGAGCTCCTGAGAGCAACTCATTCTTGCATTTTTTCACAAGTGTTGGTAGAAGCAGTCTGCATGCCAAGGTGCTTGATTTTATACACCTGTGGCCATGGAGGTGATTGGAACACCTGAATCCAATGATTTGGAGGGCTGGCCCAATACTTTTGGCAATATAATGTGTGTGTGTATATATATATATATATATATATATATATATATATATATATATATATATATATATACACACACACACGGTTTGTTTAACCTTTAATGCCTAGTCTTAAATTCACTGACAGTAATTTGTATCTATTGAAGCTACGTGTAATCTTACTCAAGAGACTGACAAATGAATATTTAATAAAAAAAAGACAAGTACCAAAGGTTGTAGAAGGTTATGTAGTAATCAAAAAATGCATACTTGATTAGATGAATTCCTCTGCCAAGAATTACTTTATAATAACTATAGGCATTTCTAGTATTCAAATCAATCTTTCTAGATATAAAACAAAGTTCATACAAGTCAAATTTAAACTAGTAAAAAATTATATATTGTAATTAATAGTTATCTAAACCACTTTTTCTGCTAAAATAGTACTTTACAAGATATCTTTTTTGTTTAGAATATGGGTCAGCAGTGGGCAGCCACCTAAAATCGGGAGACCTTTAATCCAACTTTTGAGACCTCCTCCAAAGGGTTTTACATAGATTCTCTAATTTTGCTTATCAGTAGATAAAACCAGAAAGAATATAATTTTTAGTTGTTTTATTACTGATAACACCACAGCTGGTTTGGGCTGCTGATTCTACAATAAGTAAACAATTAGACTCTTATGAATTGATATTACCTGCTTCCCATCCGCTCTATAGCAGAAATACTGCTACAGGGCGGCACGGGTGCGCAAAATCATGTATATATATATATATATATATATATATGTGATTTTGCATTTCTGGGTAGGGGGTGCACGCTGGATGCACCTGCGCCGCCGCTGTCAGTCACCAGGTCTCGGCTGGTGATTACTTGCCGTGGCCCTGTGATTTCTGACGATCTCTGACGGGGGGAAGAAATGTTTTGTTTACTAACAGTTCTCCTCCCTGTCAGCTCGGGCACACTGCTTTGGATGGCTTTGCACAGCACAGCCATCCAAAGCAGTGTACTTACAGTGAAGCACACTGACACCGCTCCCTAGTAAAACACTCCCAGCACACACTTAACCCTTTGATCGGCCCTCATGTTAACCCCTTCCTGCCTAGTGCCATTAGTACAGTGTCAGTGCTATTTCTTTAGTACTGATCAACCAACTCAGTTCCCCCCAGTGTCAGAATGTCCACTGCAGTCCCGCTATAAGTCCCTGATCACTGCCATTACTAGTAAGAATTAAAAAGAAAAAATCCAGTATCTATACCGCCATTTGTAAACGCTTAATTTATAGAAGTATTGGGATTTTGTTTTTTTTAAATATTGTTTTTTTTTTCTCAAAATTGTTGGTCTTTTTTTATAGCACAAAAAATACAAAATCACAAGCGATCAAATACCACCAAAAGAAAGCTCAATTAATGGGAAAAAAGGGACGTAAATTTCATTCGGGTGCAGTGTTGCATGACCGTGCAATTATAAGTTAAAGTAATGCAATGCCGTGACGCAAAAAATGGCCTGATCAGAAAGGGGGGTAAATCCACAGGAGGACAAGTGGTTAAAGGCCTTGTAAACATTCCTACCTGCACCTTGTGTTTTCATCTGATTAATATGTGCACTGATCATATAGTTTCATGGTGTCATTTGTTAACCAGTACACAAAGCCTATAGTAGAGTAAATATTCATACTTCTGTGTAAACAGTTTCTGTAGAAATATCAGCTATTTGTCATGGCAATGCACAGGATAATGCATGACCTTGTCTGCAATGGGAGAACTGACATTTCCTGTGAAAAAAACTGTATATCCCACAATCCTTGGGTCTCTCAGTCTAGTGCTAAGTATGTGAAAGCTACACAGGGTGCCTTCCTTGCAGCTGGTATTTTATTGCATTGGCACACCCACATTTGACATGCAAAACAGAGGGGATGGAGAGGCACGGACTGAATACTGTGTGACACTACCCTGTCTTCTTGGTGGATTGAAACAGGGTAGCTAGCAATATATGGACATAGGGGAACCAATCGGCCACAACACTACAAACTGTAGATATAACATGTGAGCCCATCATTTACAAGCAAAGGCAAAAAAAGCTCAGGAAATATAACTGCTTTAATACCCAGTTAAAGCAATGAAAACATTTGAAAGCATACAATACCTTTAAGGTACCAGCACTGTGAATTCTCATTAGCAGTGCAGTAAATGCTTGTTAACCAGAACGTTTTTTTGCCATTTCAAAGTATGTCATCTTATCATCTTAAACTATTGCTTCTGTAGTTTATTCCAGAATATTTCAATATTGTGTGTGTGCTTGGTTTAACTAGTATCAGATTACAATATATACATAGATTTTTTTCATAGGCTTTCACTTGCCGATCGCATTACCTAGTTATACGGTGGCAGAATGGCACTCCTGTGCCGGATCACATAGCGTGAAGAAAATAAGTATTTGATCCCCTGCTGATTTTGAATGTTTGCCCACTCACAAAGAAATGATCAGTCTAAAAATCGAATGGTAGGTGTAGTGTAAAACAGAATAGCAACAAAAAATTAAAAAGAAATGCATATCTAACAAATTATGCACTGATTTGCATGGTCATGAGGGAAATAAGTATTTGATTCCCTATCATTCAGCAGGATTTCTGGCTACCAGGTATCTTTCATACAGGTAACAAGCTGAGATTAGAAGCAGTCTCTTAAAGGGAGTGCTGCTAATCTCATTTTGTTACCTGTATAAAAGACACCTGTCCACAGGAGAAATCAAACAATCAGATTCCAAACTCTCCACCAGGGCAAAGACCAAAGAGCTGTCCAAGGATGTCAGGGACAAGATTGTAGACCTACACAAGGCTGGACTGGGCTACCAAACTATCGCCAAGCAGCTTGGTGAGAAGGTGACAACAGTTGGTGCAATCATTCGCAAATGGAAGAAACACAAAACAACTGTCAGTCTCCCTAGGTCTGGTGCACCATGCAAGATCTCACATCTTGGAGTGTCAATGATCATGAGAACAGTGAGGAAACATCCCAGAACTACACGTGAGGATCTTGTCAATGATCTCCAGGCAGCTGGGACCACAGTCACCAAGAAAAGAATTGGTAACACACTATGCCAACAAGGATTGAAATCCTGCAGTGCCCGCAAGGTCCCTCTGCTCAAGAAAGCACATGTCCAGGCCCGTCTGAAGTTTGCCACTGAATAGCTGAATGATGCAGAGGAGGACTGATTGAAAGTGTTGTGGTCAGATGAGACGAAAATTTAGCTCACTGGCATCAACTCAACTCGCGGTGTTTTGAAGGAGGAGGAATGCTGCCTATGGCCCCAAGAACAGCATCCCAACTGTCAAACATGGTGGTGGAAACATTTTGCTTTGGGGGTGTTTTTCTGCTAAGGGGACAGGACAACTGCAACACATCAAAGGGACGATGGACAGGGCAATGTACCGTCAAATCTTGGATGAAAACCTTCTTCCCTCATCCAGGGCATTGAAAATGGGTCGTGGATGGGTGTTTCAGCATGACAATGACCCAAAACACACGGACAACGCAACAAAGGAGTGGCTCAAGAAGAAGCACATTAAGGTCCTGGAGTGGCCTAGCCAGTCTCCAGACCTTAATCTGATTGAAAATCTGTGGAGGGAGCTAAAAGTTCAAGTTGCCAAACGTCAGCCACCAAACCTTAACAACTTAGAGAGGATCTGCCAAGAGGAGTGGGCCAAAATCCCTCCTGAGATGTGTGCAAACCTGGTGGCCAACTACAGGAAACATCTGACCTCTGTGATTGCCAACAAGGGATTTGCAACCAAGTACTAAGTCATGTTTTGTGAAGGGGATCAAATACTTATTTCCCTCATAAACATGCAAATCAGTGCATAATTTGTTAGACATGCATTTCTTTTGAATTTTTTGTTGCTATTCTGTCTCTCAGTGTTACAATACACCTACCATTCAATTTTTAGACTGATCATTTCTTTGTGAGTGGGCAAACATTCAAAATCAGCAGGGGATCAAATGCTTATTTCCTTCACTGTACCTATGTAAAGAAAGCAGAGCTCTATCCTGTCAGTGGGGACGTGCTGGATTTTGTTTTTCTGAAAAGCAGAGAATAAAATCCAACACATCCCTTAGTGAAAGCACCTGAAAGTACACACAAAAAGACTGGTTAGGCACACATTTAACCCTTTGATCGCCCTAGATAACTCTTTCCCAGCCAGTGTCAGTGCACATTTTTAGCACTGATCACTGTATTAGTGTCACTGGTTCCCATAAAGTGTCATTTAGTGTCAGATTGTCCGCTGAAATTTCACAGTCCCACTATAAGTCGCTGATCGCTGCCATTACTCATATTAAAAAATAAATAAATTCCAGTATATATATATTGTAGTTTGTAGACACTATAACATTCACGTAACTCAATCAATACACACTTATGGCGAAATATGTAGCAGAATACATATTGGCCTAAATTTATGAAAATTGGTTTTTTATTAGATATGTTTTATAGCAGAAAGTACCGTATTTGCCGGCGTATAAGACGACTTTTTGACCCTTGAAAATCTTCTCAAAAGTCGGGGGTCGTCTTATACGCCGGTACACATGTTAGGGGGGCTGCGGCATTAAGTACAGGGGTTTGCAGGGGCTGACGTCTCTTACCTGGATCCAGTCCCACGACGATCCGGTCCAGGAAGCGCGGCGTCTCCTTCAGTTCGGCCACTGGATGTTCGTGCGGCTGCGCGGCTCCGCCTCCTCACTGGTGATTGGCCGCCAGAACTGTAGCTCAGGAAAGGCACACAGGCGGCCAATCACCAGCGAGGGGGCGGAGCCGAGCGGCCCCGCGAAAATTGAGTGCCGGAGCAGCAGGTAAGTGCTCTGTGTAGAGGTGCTGCTGCAACCACATATGCTGGCTGCAGCAGCACCATACTAGAACAGGGTCAGCAAGTCT